ACAGCTGACCACCGCCGCGGGGCACGGATCCCCCCGCCGCTGCCCCACGCTACGCCGTCACCCCCAAATGCAGCTTGCACCGAAACCCATGCTGCCGCCGAGTGCGGTGACCAGTGGCATGGGGAGAGTCGGCAGAGGCTGCGGGCTTGGGGGCAGCAGCACCCCATTAACAGAGCGTGGACCGCTCAGACCTTTGTGAGCCGGATCCAATCTCTTGCACAAGAAAAGCCTGATATTTTTATCCATTCCTGTGCCCTGATTCTTTTCCTCCACTGATGCACAGAGCCCAGACTGGCTCACGTGCAGCTTCCCGAGGCCTTACAGACACGTGGAGAGGTGGCGGCAGGCCGAGGGCTGTTCCACTGCCCCATAAATCAGTGCTAAGCCCCCGGGGCATCGAGTCCAAGCAAAGCAGGGCAGGAAGGGGTCTGCAAGGGTCACTCCTAGTCCAACCCCTGAGGCAAGATCAAACCCGTCCCCCCGCTAGACTGGGCTGCAGCCAGCACCCAGTGCCTCCAGCGGGACTGCCGCTGGCTCTCTCCAGCTAGACGAGTGCCTCGAACTCGGAAGGAATCGACATGTCCTTTGCGTGCTCTTGCCAGAGAGAAACCGTCCCAGCACTGGGAGGGAGCCAGAGAGAGAGTCAGCGCCGAACTCGTGACGCCTGGGCCAGTGCTTCTGCACAGCCGAGGGGGTAGGGACGCTGGGGACCAAGGGGACAGGGCCCTGGGTCACAGCAGTTCTGCATTGCTTTCGGGGACAGTCGCCTGAATCCTACACGAATCGGTGCCCATGACGGGTGACCTCGGGCCAGCAGAGACCCCGGCCCCAGGTGATGGCTGGAATAACTTTCCCCGGCAGCCCTTCAAGGGCTGCTTGGGTCATGCACCCCGAGCCATAAACACGTTACCGTCTAATGCATCATATAGGCCGGTGATTCTCAACCGGGTGCCGCAGCCCCTGGGGTGCCTCAAGATCCTTTCAGGGGTGCCGCAGGCACGAGTGCCACGACGTGGGCAGAGGTGATCCATGGGATAAACCCCGAGATTGCACATAGGAAGCCAAAGCGTCCAAACCCCTCGGCCCCGTCGGGGCTCGCTGAGTTCTTCGCAACAGAAGAATCGCTCTAGGATTTTTTTCTACCATCCAAAAAGCCCAAGGGAAAACCGCCAGCATCTTCCCTCCAGTCTAACGCAGCTGAGAAGCGCTGCTGGAGAGGTTGCAGGAGCTGGGACAGGCCTGGCCCCGAGCCGGGCTGGGCGGCCGGAGAGGGAGAGAGGGATGGAGAGAAAGAGGCCGCGTGCTTTTCCTCCGGGCTGCGGCTCCGAGCGGCCGGGCGCAGACGTGCTGACTCAGAGGGCAGTTTTGGGCAGCGAGGGAGGTGCGGCACGAGGAGCTGACTCTCAGCCTTCATGCTCGTGGTCCCAGCTGCCCCCGTGAGCCTCGCTGCTCAGCGCTCGGTGGCTTCCAGCCACCCCGGAGCGGCCGCCTACACCCGCAGCCCTTCCGGAGAGGCTTTTCTGCAGCCAGGGACTTCACCCTGTGTCTCGGTGAAAGGCTGGCAAGTCACGGCCGAGCTGAGAAAGCTCCTCCTTACCCCCAGCCTCGGTTCCCCCTCGAGAGCAGGGAGAATAGACCATCTCTATCCTCCAGAGAGCTGCCCTTGAACTCACCTCCATCAGCCTTCTCCGGACTCAATAGCCCCAGCTCCTCCAGCTGTCCGTGCCCGCCCCGTTCCCAGTTTTGTTTCTCTTCTCTGAATTATTGCCTATCCCTCTTGATGTGTTGTGCCCCGGCGGGACCTGGCGCCCACGTCCACGTACGGCCTCGCCAGCGCTGAGCGGAGCAGAGGCCTCGCCACTGCTGGTA